GTAGATTATGATGAAGTTCTTATCCTGGGTGAGTTTGAGGAAAAGCAAGTATATAGCATGTTCTTGAATTGTATCTATATTTTTTCTACTGGTTCTAGATCTAAGAAGATGGTTAAATGTTAGATATTATCATTCATAGATCTCCACCTATACTTTGGGAAACTTAATTATTGACATGTAACAAAAAAGTTCAAATGGTGGTCCTGAGTTCGTTTTTGTCTCCTCTATTCTTAATTTTGATAACAAAGTTAAATCTCAGCATGAGATAATAAATAAGGTTGTGTATATATATTGGCCATTTTCAATCTCAAAAAGCTCTTGCGTAAAGGTGTGTTCAAATATAAGATCATTACAAACCTCAAAGTATCATTTCCTTCTTTTATAAGATAATTTGTTCTTGGCATGATGAAAAAGTGATGCTTCATGGGCCATGGGATAATTTGTAATAAGTTAAAAAGGGGTTTATGGCATATTTCACCTTTGGAAGTTATAGAAGCTAGAGAAAAATACAAAAAAATGATTATTTTTAATTATGTTAATCATGTGAAATATATATTGAGTTTTTTTAATCATTAACTTCCATTCAAAATTCTTATTGATAACTTTTGTGAGATCTCACCTATTAATCATTAATTAACTCTATTAATTATGTCAATAATTAAACCAACAGCATAGTTGGGCTTCTCAACCTTAAGGCCCTTTTTACACCTTCCTTTTTGTAAATCACACCTCATTTTTTTCTAAGTAATGTCTATTCTTTTGGGTCTGTTACGAATTTCTCTTATACAAGCTATTTCTATCAGATTCTACGGTAAGTATATGAACATTAATAACCTTGTTATTAAGGGTGGTTTCATTGTTTTAGGTTTTAAAATATAAGTTTGTTGCACATTTAAAAATATTTTCATCACTCATTTAGGAAATAAAATTCTGGAATTTTATTTGTATGATTTTGGAAAAATAGTTATACACAAATAGACGTCCAAAAGTTTGATTTTGTTATTTACAAATAAATCTCTGATGTTTAATTTTAGAATGTGTAACAAATATATATTTTTGAAGTTTAACTCCATATATAATATATAAATAGGCTTCAGAAGTTTAATAAAAAAGAATGTAACAAATAATGAGATGTAATTCTAAAATATACCTATGTCTAAAGTTTTTAATTACAAAAATCCAAATGTTTTTACAGAATTTAAATTCCCAAAAAAAAAAAAAAAACTAACAGCAAAAGAAATAAAAAAAATTGGGAAATAAAGTGTAGAGTTCGAATAGGTAAAGAGAGAGGTGTATAAAACAATTACCTTGATTTTACTATAAAATTTCGTGCTAATAGATCAATGTTGATTTACTGGCCTCTTCTCCATTGGGTTGTTAATCCGGAAGAAATTGGCAATGTGAACATTTCAAGGCCCAACTAAGTCCATTGTTTGTTGGGCCTTGTTATTAGCACACGTACATTTCTATTTGAAGCACCTAGTTTTTCACTCTTGTTTATTTACTTTTCTAATTCTTCAGAGGATATATTGATTTTTTTCATCTACATTCATACCACATTATAATTAAGAATTGGACACAAACTAAAATGTTAATAACACTTCAAAAATGAAAGAAAAAAATGTATCGGTATGATATGCATGTCAAATATCATACCAATACTTTTATTTGATTTAGAGGTTGGAACCCAAAAATGAAAACGATAAAGAGTTTATTTGATTTTTTTTATTTTAAAAAATAATTTTAGAATATCATATTATAAACAATGTAGTTATAACAAGAACCAATATTGACCTAAAGGTATTTTTTCCAAGATTAATATTGACCCCGTTAGATAATAAATAAGATTCGTTCTAAATTTAAAAATAGGTAGTTCCATGTTGTTGTCTATTCAAAATGTTGAAATTTACCTTCCAAAGTTGAATTTTTCTATGATCAATTATACGTAGCTGGTTGAATTATACGTAGTAGTTTCACGTCTCTAAAATTACATCAAATGTGATGCATAAGGAAATTTTCAATATATTCAAATTTTATTTTCTAATAGACATAAAAGGAAATAACAAAGACACGTAATTAGTGACAATTTTATTATGTGTTACATGATGTAAAATAATAATAATAATTATTACTTTTTTATAATTTTAATTATTTTTTAATAGAAACTAATTCAATATACTTTTTATAAATATTATTGGGATATAGTTTCAAATATAAACGATAATCATAGGTATGACAACGGGAAGACAGATTTTTCATCCCCAATTCTCGCTCTAGACTTTTTAACGGTTCCTGATTTTCGTTGAGATTATAAATTAAGTCTTCATCCTTATATTCCCTTGGGTTTTAGGCTTTCCGACCCAGTCCTATTCCCGATCTACATTATTTAAAAAAATTATATTTATAATAAATTAATTTTACTATTTTTATATATATTTTTGTACATAAATAAATATTTTTAATTTTATAATTTATAATTATTATTAACTAAATATATATTTTAATTTATTATATTTATATTAAAACATGTATGTAAAAAAATATTTAATTGTTTTTTCTTGTAAAATACTTATAACCTTATTATTATTATTATTATTATTATTTATTCAAATATTTAAATACTTATAATAATATTATTATTATAATACTATATTTAAATATTTGATTATATATATAAGTTAATTTTTTAAAGTTGTCGAAATATATAGTTTATAAGAAAATATTTAATAAATTAGTTTTTATTTAATTAGTTTAAAGTAATAAAAAATTAAATTATCAATTTTTTTAATCATTTAAAATATAATTATTTTATTAAGATAAAATTTGATAAATGACAAATAAGAATAATAAAATGTAAAAAATATGACATAATAAAACATAATAAAGATAAATTATAAATAAAATAATATTAGTTACTACTAATATTTATGTAAAATATTTAGAAAAAATGATAAAAAAATAAGAAAAATTAACTTTGTGTTGATCAAATTGGTTGAAAAGATTGAAAAATATAAATTAATCAAAGAAATTAACGAAATGTGGAAAAGTGAAATGTAAGAGAAAGATAATAATGTAATGAACTAATTGATATAAAAGATTAAAAAAATAAAAGAATTAAAAGCAGGTGGAGGAAAATGAAATATTTTTAAAATATTAATATTTTAAAATTTAAATTTAAATATAAAGTCGGGACGGGATCGAGGCAGGAATTACATTACCCATCTCCGCTCTCGTCCCGACTTTTTAAAGTGGGGAAAACCTGAAACTGTCCCCACCCCTGATCAACTTGATTTTTTCTCAACAAACTCGAGAGGATGCGGATCGGTCCTCACAGATATGAATTTAATTTATTAAATATTGATAATAATGATGTATTAAATAATTATTTATAATATTCTTACAAAGATCAATTAAGTCATCAAATATTCAAGTTTTTAAAGAGAAAAATCAATTAAGTCAACCTTCTTTTTATTATGTGATTTAAGTTAATTGTATTAGGTGAGTGTTATTATATTTTTTTAATTAATTCTATTAAGATAATTTGTATGCTACTACATAAATTTTTTTATGAATATCATATTCGTGCTATTACATTATTTTATTTGATTTTATTAAGTTAATATTTATGCTACATCTTAATTGATCTTATTAAATTAAATTTTGAGCTATCACATACACTTATTTTTTTACCTATTATTTTATATGTGAATATTTGTATCTTTTAAGTTATTACTTTATTTGTTAGTCATTATATTATTACATGATAATCTTTCTATTGAACATTGTAATTATTAGTGTGTATCATATGTAGGTCTTAAATCTCCTTGCTGTGATTAATTGAGGTTGGAGAATACCTATTGAATTTGGTAATAATATTATTCAAGTAGCAACTAATATATATTTTTTTAAGTATTTTATTAAAATAAAGATGCTCTAAATATCTTGACACAAAAAAATATTATTAATTTAATATTTAAGTTTCTTTATTAATTATATTGCTAAGAACTAACTTAAAACATTATTAGATTTATAAATAGAATATACTAATGTTTAAAATTTAAATATTTCTTAACTTATAAACATATCCTAACACTTAAGTTTATTATCACATCTTATTTCGCATTTTTTTTATAGATAATTCAAGTACAAAGTTTTCATAAAATATTTTTTATGATGTATTGTTATATCATTACTGAATTTCATGTAAATTTATATGATTAATATATAGTTTTTCATATTAGTTTATAATAAAGGGAGAGAGAAAGTTTTAGGAATTAAATTAATTAATGAATAAATTAATTATTAGGAATTAAATTATAGACCCACACATTCTATGACCATTTTCTACACAAAAGCGAGGCAAAACAAAGCCCCCACCACCACTTTCCATTGTGCCGCACTCCGCCACCACATTTTTCATTTCCTATCTGTCAGAAAAAGGAACCATTTGTTAAATAGATTCTCCCACTTCCACCCTTTTAATCCATCTCTGACGTTGACTTTGCACCACCCCAGCCTTTACCCAATGTCAATGCCTTTTCGCTCATCACTTCCAAGCCAAGACTAATTTAACTTGACCCATTCTTAAATAAGACTCACCGTTTCGCACACACTCTCTCCCTCGTTCTCGCTCGCTTTCCTTATGTAGAAGAGAAGAGGTTGATGCGCCAATATTTTCTTCTCCACTCTCTGAATTCCCTCACACCACTTCCTCTATTTATTCCCCTTTCCGATCCGTCTCCGATTCTCCTTCTCCTCGCAGTGCACCTCCGATTTACTTCGAGAATTCCGCGAAATCGTTTCTTCGGATTTTCTGCAACTTCTTCTTTTGTTGACTGTAACTGACAGCAGATTGAAGTAATTCAGTAATTCACAGATTCACTATTTCGCAGAGTTTTTTCTTTATCATTTATTCGTTTTCTGCTTACAAGTTAGAATGAAATCGGCATTTTCGTTGAGTTGACGTGCTCTTTGTGAATTGTGGCTTAGAAGTTATGGCGATGGCGTCGAAACGAAGCGCGAAGTCGAAGGGAGTACGATTGAACGGTTCCAGAGCTGCAAATTCGCCAACGTCTTCAACGACGTCGTCGTCCAAGCAGTTTCTAGAAACTTCCGTGGATGGTCTGAGCTCGCCGGCGTCTTCTTCCGCTCGGAGCAAGACGCCGTACTCGTTTTCCGAAAGCTTGCCTTTGGACGCGAAGGAGAATGTGACCGTTACGGTTCGGTTTCGTCCTCTGAAGTAAGTGCTTGCGTTTCCGAGTTGTACGCCGTCGTTTTGAGTTTGTTTTGGGCTTTAGTTTGATTGAGGTTTGTGTGTGGAATGATAGTCCCAGGGAAATTCGCCAGGGAGAGGAGATAGCGTGGTACGCTGATGGAGAAACCGTGTTGCGGAACGAGTATAACCCGTCCCTAGCTTATGCTTACGGTAAATATATGCAAATTTGATGTTTTTGAATACGGTTTTTGTTGTTTTCTTTTGTTTAATTGGAATGGACTGTGAAATTAAAATGTCTTAATAATTTGCGAGTTTAGTACTTCTGAGGTTGAATGTATACTTGTACATCATTTGGTATTGAACTTCTCTTCCATTTATTTTTGAGAATAGAAGCTTGTGAAGGTGATAGCAAAAATGGATGGGGAGGTTATTGTTAACATATTGATTTAATTGATGAAACCAATGCCAGAAGTATTAGTATCTTTTTCGGGATAAGAGGAATATACTTTTATTAGAGGAAAGAAAGGAATATTAGGAGGGTAAGGATAAGAATCATTGTGAGGCAAAGACAAAGCTAATAGGAAAGCCAGACACTAAAAAAAACAACCAATTATACAAAATAGCTCTCCAATTCCTTTGGAAATCTATGACGGGAACCCCTCTGAAGAATTTCTGTACTGAACACTAAAGAAAGGCTAGATAGTCCCTTCTTCCAAAGATATGTTAACATTAACATTCTAAGCATTGGTTATTAACTACAAGGTACCAAAGTATGGTGAGCATGGGACATTGTGAAATAACTTGTCCTTCCATACTACTGCTGAGACCTCTGAAATTAATGATTAGGAAATGATCCAAGTTTCCAGAATACATCACATCCCAATTATCAGCATATATTCCCAAGCAAACCTCCAAATTTAGCATGCCGTTAGACAATGTAGTAAATATTTTCCACTTTTTTGAATTAGAAGAACAAATCTGATAGCAAGCCAGGGATTTAGCCAGTGTATTTTGAAAGGAAGTAGTTGGGCCTCAGATGGAAGGGTCATTTAAGGGTAGTTTTTTTATGATGAACTGTAAACTATTTACTTTCTATAGAAGGGGAATAATAGGATACTGTTAGGGAACATCTTAGAAACAGAAAGCTGTGAGAAGTGGAGCAGACCTCTTGAAGTATCTAGTCTCGTAGGGAGATCTTCTCTATTATCAAATAAATGCTGTTTTTTTATTTTGCTATTTCTGTCAAGACTTATTTTAAAATCAGACACAATGCGAAGTGACAAGTACTTGCTAGTTCTATGAGTCTGTAACATAACATTAGCATTTTTATCTTGTTGAGTACTAACAGAATAAAGGACTTGACCTATGGAGTTGGACTTCCTCAGCGCTTCTCAAGAAAGAGTTATTTTCTTCTTTCTTCTAGGTCTTGAGAGAATGTGTGAGATATTGGTTGGAAGATCTAGAGGTAAACTGATAAAGGACTCCAATTCAGAAACATTCTGCTGTATCCTAGATAAATGCATTTCCTAGAAATGGAGACCTGACTAATTATTTAAAATAGGAAACACTGTGAAACGAAGTAGCAATTTTCTAAGTTTTAGCAAAAACAGAAAAGATAATAGAAAATGTTTTTTTAAACAGTAAAACCAAACTTGCTTAATCTTCCAAGACCAAATCTTCCATTCTATCGTGTACTACAGATATATCAGCAGGCGAAATAATTTCTTCCTGTATATTTGTTGCCCAACAAAAGAAACTCTTAGCTAAATTTAATACTGTGTTGTCCCTTCTGGCATTATCAAAAGATGTTAGAAAGAGGAAGGGGGGTCTGCATAAACAAGCCTGAATCAGCTTAATCTGATTTCCTAATGAAAAACAAAGTTATCCAAATTTTTGCTCTTTCATGTGTTTTTGTTTTGATCACTTGAAGATTTTCTCCCTTACAGGGATCCTTAAATAAGTAAATGAGTCCAATTGAGGACTTAGCAGTGGGACCCACCTAATCATAGTAGTCATAGAATTGAGAAACTGGTTCCCTACATTAGTTCTAACTGACCCGCTTTTGGTTCTGTTAATTTCAAGTAAAAATAGTTTACATAATTTGAAGGTTAATGATATGATAAACCTATTGTGATCTTCTTTTAGTAAAGACTCAAAATGTCACGATATTGTACAATTTTTACAAATGAAATCGTTTGTCATATGCATTTTTTCTTCAGAAAATATCTCTTTCTCTCTCCTTATTTCATCTATCAATATTGTGTATTTATGTTTTTCCTGTTAATTGCAGATCGTGTCTTTGGTCCCACGACTACAACTAGGCAGGTCTATGATGTTGCAGCTCAACATATTATCAGTGGTGCTATGGAGGGTATCAATGGTAATTGACAGATTGAACTTATTGGTTCTATTTGTTTGGCTCGGTTAAAGTATAAAATATAGTCTTGGTACAATCAAATTATCCTTAATATGCAGATTAATTTGAAAATGTATGTCGTAAAATAACACTAAATCTGAGTATTATGTCTACTAATTTAGAGTCTGTAATTTGACTTGTTTAGTTTGATATTTGCAATCAGCCATTTGTTTGATAATAATGCTATTAAAAATCAAGGTTGCTATTTTGACTTTCGAACTATGTCAATGGTATTGACACTTGATGGACAATTGGCAAAATTTTTCTAAATTGCCATCCATAAAATTTTGATCAACATTTGTAAAAGCCGTACACTTTCTGGCTTCAACTGTTCACTTACATTATGATTGTTGATAAAATAAGATTGCAAACTGCTCAGATGCTTGCTTAGGGAGGTAGGCCAGATCATGATGTAACCTCTAGAGGTTTGAGATTCAAGATCTTAGCAACTGGTTTCACATAATGTTGTCGTTGCATGCAATAACCAGTTGGCTTGGACCTTCACATGATCAATGCAGAAAGAATGTGAAGTAACTTGATGATTTGGACCATGGACCATTTCCCATAGGGGTGACACACAGCAATTTCCTTTATATGGCAACCTATTTATAATTGCACTTTCCTTTTGATGTTGGTCATTTGAATTAAAAGTCATCACATGCAGTGACTTATGTCTCCAAGGAACTAGAATTTTTCAATTGCATATTAGCGTATTGAGGAACTTACAAATGAACCATTCTTGGGTTTTCGTTGCAGGTACAATATTTGCATATGGTGTAACAAGCAGTGGGAAGACTCATACAATGCATGTAAGATCACACATAAACGATTTTCTCCTGTTATCTTGTTGATCTTTTCTTGGTAGAGATCACAAGTATCTTTCCTCTAGGGAGAAGAATCCCAATTGAGTCAAGTAAAACCACTATCTAGCTTGCTTGAGCACAATTATGACTACCGGAGGATACATGTGGTCTCTTCCAAAAAAAAGAAAAGAAATGTGTAATAAATTTACGTATATGCTTATTTTTTTTGGTCTTTCCACCGCAAGGTATTTGTGATCATTAAACCATAACTAGAAGCTATTATTGGGTTAATAAACATGAAGGATGTTATATGTAATATCTTCCTTCACTCAAGAGTCCTTAATGCTTGAAGTTTGGACAAGGCAAATGCCCATCTTATTTAATGCTTAAGAATAGGACCAAGTATCATAGACTAAGCCCTGTTGGACGAGGTTCTCCATAAGCTCCTTCTAGGAAAGAAACGTAAGAAAAAAAATAGAAATTAGCTTTTCCATAGGCTAAGCTTATGCGTAAGTTAATTTATGGAAGATTTCTCGTATAACTTTCCTAAATTTTCATTTTTAACTTGTGCATAAGTTAATTTAAAGTTGAGGAAATTAATTTTTTTTTCCATATTTTTATCTACTGGAAGTACTTGTGGAGAAGCTCATCTAAACATACCCTAAAACATGATCTGAAAGGCTTTGTTGATATCATGTTACAAATCGGTTCTGAAAAGCTTAAGTTGTTAAGTGAACACACAAGAGTTTTTATTTGTATTAGGAACAATTAACTAAAAAATTATTAAATAGTCAATACAAATACATCAGTGAAGATGCTATGTGCTATGTAAATATAAATAGCAAAAGAATGTTAGTTAGTTAATAAGCTACTGCTAGTTTGGATTTGTATAGTCATTGGGTTGCTGCCTATAAATAAAGCATTACTATTGTACTTTAGACAGATTGGAATAATAATAATAATAATAATAATAGAAGTGCACAAGTTCGTTCTTAATCTCTTTGTTTCTCTTGCCTCTTGCCTCTCGTCTCTCAACCTCTCTGTTCTGTTCTTCGTTTTACCATCTTCCATTCTCTTGCCAACCTAAACCCATATCACATGATTGTATGTAAGACATCATTTACAATGGTGATTGTCTGGTGGCAACCTTCCACAGGCATGCATCATCATCACTAATGCTATTTAATAATAATCTCATAAGGTTCTATTGTAGTACAACTAGTATATACCCATGACAATTAGACTGGTAACATGATAATACTCTTTAAAAGTTAAAACTATAAGTACGCTGATAGTTTGACTGTTAAGTTTTGGTAGTCCTTCTCAGCCTCTTAATATATATCATGGTACAATTGTGGATAATAATTTAATTATTATCTTTTAAAATAAACATAAATAATTTGGGGTTGGGTTACTGTATATAACATTATAGGTCCATTTAATTTGCACAAAAGCAAGGGACAAGACAAAATTAAAAATATTTGATTAACCTTTGATTTTAAAAAGTTGTGGGACAGAACAAAAGAAGTGGGAAATGACAGAACAAGAATTTATTTTTTGTTATTCTGTAAAATATAGGACAACATTTTGTTCCAAGTACAAGATCCTCAAAAAAACAAAATTACCCACTATCTCTCTCTCTTTTTTCTCTTCCCCACTCTCGCTCCACTATTATGTATTATAACTGATCAACAAACATAAAACTACTCTGTATTACTACTCAAAATGCTCTTACTTTTCCACAATTTAAAAAGTGGATAAAAGCATAGCAATAATACTTCAATTTATCAACGTTTACATTTGTATTATATATACATATATTTTATAATATGTTAAAATGTATAATAATATATTATTTTTTAACAAATGATTAAAATATATAATAATTTTCTATTTTATAGTAAAGAATAATAATTTATTATATTAAAATAATTAATATTAAAAAGGGTATTATGGTAAATTTTACATTATTTTTTTCTTATGCTGTCCATTGTTCATCAAATGATGCACAAGATTAAAAATTGTTGTAAAACTTAGATGTCTAAACGTCTTTGCTGTACCTTGGTATGTATTACATGCACCGTATATGCTTATAAAGCTCATATTTCCAGGGTGATCAAAGATCTCCAGGAATTATACCCCTTTCTGTGAAGGATGCTTTTAGCATTATCCAAGAGGTATGTTGAATGCCAGTTTTCTGTTGTTTCTGTTTGTTGTATTTCTTAATCTAAATATTATAAAATCGGATGACCTGTCACCAGACTCCAAACCGAGAGTTTCTTCTTCGAGTTTCGTACCTGGAGATCTACAATGAGGTGGGCTGCTTCCTGCTCTCTAGCTTCTTGCTTGTCTTCATGTTGACATTGTCTTACGTGAACTTGAATATTGTATTTGGGCTGTGCATGAAATGAAATTAAATATAATGTTACTGCTACCCTTAAAGCTTTGGTTTTATTTCAGGTGGTTAATGACTTACTAAATCCAGCTGGACAGAACTTAAGAATCAGAGAGGACGCTCAGGTGCTGATTATATTTTTTTTCTTACCAAATTTTAATATATTCCGTCTTTATTCTTGATTACTAAATTGAGATTAAAGATTGGATTAGGTTATTTTGATTTTCTTTGATTGTGTTGTTAGTGATCTCTAGACCAAAATTTTGAATATGGAGTATATTAACTATAGTTGAATTAAGGTCAATTCATGTGAATCAGTGACTTGAAAGCAAGACATTGCCATCAATTTATTATGTAGATGGATGCTATATAGCACCATAGACATTTGAAAGTGGATAAGTGATTAACTATGCATTGAATATCACTGGTTTGTTTCGCTGACATATCAGTCCCTTCTTCTATAACTTTAGCGATTAGACACTGAAATTCTTTATTGATTGTTTGTAACTAAAGACTTTCAATAAACTTACATGATGGAATTGGACCTCTAACTCTAGTAAGCATCTTCGAACATCACCGTTAGAGGAGGGGAAGGAGAAGGATCTAATTTTTAACTTATTATATGTCATGCCTTGACATTTTTAGCTTTGTAGCTTTTATCTTTCTTTTTAGTGCTGTTATGAGACTTTATGCTTACTATATTAAACATTGATGGATTTCATTTAATAGAATATATTTCTAATTTGTTATATTTATGTTATTTTCTTTTTATTATAGTGTTTACCAATTTTATTTTATTTTTTTGAATTTTTGAATTTATCTGCTATGCTTTCAAAATTTGTCTGCAGTGTCATCTGCCATATTGAATGGGAGATTTTTGGTTTTCTTCCATGGACTGTCAACATAGATTGAAGGCTGCATATATCCATGGTAGATACACATTGGTATTAGTATCTAGGAAGTTGCACTTAATTAATATTAGCCTAGGAAATAGTCTCCACTAAGTTAAGAACCTATATATATATAGATGTCTTGCATTACCTATATACTGCATTCTACTGAATGATATAGCATTCCCTGAATTCTCGCTCTCTTGAAATCTCCTCTTGATATTATCATATTAGAGTGATACCCCTTGTCACTGGGTCATTAACACTCTTTCCCTTTACTTCTCATCACTTTTAATTTCTCTGATTGGGTGCATGATGTCACGGATCCCAGGAAAGGTTTCTCTTGATTTGATAATAATTGTTGCTCCTTGAAGTTTCCTTTTTCAATGCTGGTCTGTTTTTCTGTGCTACTGATTATAAGAATAAATGAGAAATATTATGCAGCAGCATATCTAGAAAATAGAGGCATAACAGTTTAAAATTGAAGTTACAACTACAAATGCGGCAGTTGCAATTAATGCTTCAGGTCAACTGCGCTGAGCTGTACCTAAGGTCCTAGGAATGTACTTTACTTGTTTCACTTGTCATTTTCTCTCTCCTTGTATCTCTGTTTGAGACTACATTTTCTATATATATGAGAACCTAAGAGAGACATATTTACGCTCTCTAAAATATATTTTCTTTCTTTTTATTTCTCTCAAGTTTTATATTTCTAAACATTCCCCCTATGGTAGATTCTATATTAAAACCTATTGACATTAAGTAAAGTTGCCTAACAGGTGTGCACTGCACCCTAGTACTTGAGACAAGCTATATGGGATTTTAGAACACCCCTCCCCATCCACAAAAGCCTGTTGGACCAAGTGATCCATGGTGGAGATTCCCTACATTACATAAACAATGGAAATGGACACCAACATTAATTATAGTCCTAACTAAATATGAATAAAAAATATGGAAATATGGTAACATCCTAACAGATAATGAGTAAATAGGGAAACTAAGTTTTAAAAAACTGAAGATGCAATCAAGATTTATTGGATACTTCATATATTCCCATTCTTTAAATTATCTCTAGAAAGATTCTGTTCTCTCTTTCTCTAAATTTTCTCCTCTAAATTCAACATGTTGATTAATATGTAGGGACCCTTCGTTGAGGGAATAAAGGAAGAGGTTGTACTCTCCCCTGCTCATGCACTGTCCCTTATAGCAGCTGGAGAAGGTAAATATTGCAGCTATTTTTTTCTCTTCTGAATTGTTCTAGTTTGTTGGATTGCATACTGTATTAAATATCATTTTGGTTCCGGCTTGATTCTTTAGTAAGTAGTTATTGGATTTTATGTCATTTTTAAATTGAGTATCACTGTTAAGACCATGGGAGAGAACACATATCTTCGATGCTTTGTCAGGGACAACTGTACGGGTAAATGCAAAAGAGGACTTACATAGACTATAATTATTTTTCATGTGGCAAGAGGTGTGGGAAGCATTAAAGTAAAGTTAGAGGGTGAATGAGGATTTATGGGAAGAGGTACAAAATGAGAGGTAGACAATCAATTGGGTAGTTTTGGGTGGCTCTTGCAAATGGGCAAAGAAGTATTTCTTTTATATCTTCTTTATTCCTAGGTCTCTATCTACTGCATTTCCCCTTTGTAAGCAGAAGACTGTTCTCTGCAATATTCCCTATTAATTCCATGGTAAATTCTGTTCGTATCACTGTTTGCAAGTGTTTTTTTTGGGGAAATTTATTCTGCATTTAAAATACTAAGCATATTGATAAACAATTTTTAAGATAGTATTCCCACGAACACAAAGTAGCTCCATACAACATATATGAGGCTTATGGGTGGGTGGTTTTATATATCCTAAATAAACCTGTTTAGCCTGTCCTGTTAATGATCATGGGAATTGGATTACTCTACAACACTACTTGGTGCGCCACTGCTGAGTTATGTTATTTAATTTGATAACAGAGCACAGACATGTTGGGTCCACAAACTTCAACCTACTCAGCAGCAGGAGCCATACAATATTTTCGCTGGTGGGTTTACAAGACCTTAAACGATCGATAATAGTTTTTATTTAATTGGTATCATAGTTATTGTATTATGTCCTAACAATAATTAAACTTGTTCTGTGTGTTCACATCTTGACACATACTTTTGTGCAGTTATATCTAATAAGAATGTAATACAGCACAGTAATTAGTATTTCATTCCTGCACACATCATTTGATCGAGCTACACTGAGAAATTCTTGATGAACATCTTTCATCCAAATTCCAAAGCTTTGTTAGAATACTTCTTATTCTTGACTTCATCTTTTCCTTCATATGATTAGAAGGACTTTTAGTTTTTTGCCAAGAGTTGTTTTTTATGATGAGATAATTGTACTCTTTTAACTTTTGGCCATCTTGCGACAGACTATAGAGAGTAGTCCATGTGGTGAAAATAGTGAAGGAGAAGCAGTAACACTGTCTCAACTGGTAATTATTGATTTGTTTTTTAGAATTTTTTTTCTACTTCTCATTGCACACGTGATCTATTCCAATATTGAACTTGGGCAATGATTTCATTATTCATGCTTTACAATTTGTTATTGTAACTTCTATTTAAATAAATATTTTACTTATATATGCAGAACCTCATCGATCTGGCAGGTTCTGAGAGCTCAAGGGCTGAAACAATTGGCATAAGGAGGCGAGAAGGATCTTACATCAATAAAAGTCTTCTAACTCTTGGAACTGTGAGATCTCAAACTTTGTTAGCTGATCCTATCAGATTCTCTATTTTATTTGAGTTATTTGTGTCTTTTCACCAACTTTTGCTCAATGTTGTGTCAGTTGGATTTCTTTTTTGTTGTTTTCTAGTTATTCATTTATCATTGTCAAACACAATACTAAAATAGGCTAGAAAAGACCAGAGTTATTGAGTTGAATCAGCCAATCTGTTTAATATTTAATCCACCAAAACTTGAAAATTTAAAAGATAACATGCCATGAATAAACTTCTCCAAAAGTTTAAGCTGTTAGGTGAAAACACATGAATGGGTTTTTATTACATCTCTAGCATGCCCCTTAAACGAATTCTTTGGAATTGAAATATTGAAAATGCATAGGCTCGCCTAACTTCTGCTAAAACTGTACTTTTTATTAGAAGAATGGGGAAGGCTAGTATTGAAGTCTAGATAATATGGTAATTAAGGCTTTGAGACATGTCTTGAACTAACTATCTCAAAAGTTTAGGCTATTCAGTCTTCATGTTGTTTGCAGTTGTTGTGCTTGCTCAGGAGTTTGCTTCTAAAAATAGTCATGAAGTTTCTCTCGAAGTTTGTAGGTGTGTGTGCAAGGTACAATGATGCAACCATGAGCGCATCATTTTATCCTGTTGTTCCCAAACAATATATTCAAAATTCAAGATTCCATCCAATTTATTGCTAAATTGCAGAGGAATATCTGGAGCAACAACAAAGTTATGAATTCTTTATACCTTATTCACAGGTTCAATCTCTTCATGCCAATGAAGAAAAATCTTCTCATTGAGCTTTTCAGAAATTGAGTGAAGAAGGGGACAAACTCATTGTCACCAAGAATTGTGGTGTTAGAGCAGGTGGAGGAGAAGAGGAAGGAGCCATCAAGGATCGATGGCTCTTGATACCATATTAGGTTTGAGATTTTGAGAGAAAAAGTTGAGACAATTTCTGAATTTCATTGAATGACAAAGAGAGTTCAGTTACAAGAGTTGTATTTAGACAAAAGGTTAACCTAACTCAACTGAAACTAACTTGACCAGAAAGCTAATGGTCTCTTTGGTTCTAGGGGAGAGGATGTAAATAAGGATGACGGAATTAAATGGGTTTGTTGGGTAGGATACAAAGGAGAGAATGAAAAAGAGACTTACATGTTTATACCTTACTTTTCACACACTTTTTCTATATTCTTCTAGGATTTGGACTTTCTCTTTTGTTTGATATGTTTACTCATACATGCTTGTCATCAATGGTCACCTGTACATAGATACGGTTTACCTGAATGTGTGCAGTTCTTTACAGCTTTGTGAAGTATGATTGTTTATTTTACGCAGGTTATTTCAAAATTGACTGAAGGCAGAGCTAGTCATATACCTTATAGGGACTCCAAATTGACTAGATTACTTCAGTCTTCTCTCAGTGGTCAGGGACGTATATCTGTAAGGTTTACTTGTGTATAGATTTTCAGAAATGTGATTACATAGATTTGTTTATTAAAATAAATTTTACTATACTGATCTTTGTGGCACAAAACTTGAAACAATGCTATTCTGATAGTTTGCTGTCATTTAAAAATACAGCTCATTTGCACAGTGACGCCTTCATCAAGTAATGCTGAAGAGACACATAATACATTGAAGTTTGCCCACCGGGCAAAGCACATTGAAATACAAGCAGCCCAGAACACGGTATTATTGAAGTTTATATTTTTCTTAGAATTTTATTTCTAAACAACCTGCATAGTACAAAATGCAACTGCTTCTCCTAATCAAGGTATTATGCATGCCCCTTTGTACAATACAAAGTACAATATATACTCTATATTCAATCAACCTACTAAGTAAACACTGAAACACAACACACTCGACTTGTAACCCCGTTGCGTTACCTCTCCTCTTTGTGGTCAATATTTTAGTTAAAGCCAACGTTAAGAGGAAGTTATTCTTGAGAATAGGAAAATAATTTCATCAAGTTTCTGTCAAGTAACATATTGAAATTTTACCTAGGGCGTCCCTAGTAGTAGATAATTGAAAATTACCTGTATTACCTACTATGTAGTGCCCACATATCCAGAGAACCTTATCCCTTCTAGACCTGTCTAGCTGCATCATGGAAGGCTTAATTGAAATTGGTAGCAAGTAATTTGAACATGAAGAATTTATGTGGGAAGGTATTTTAGAAGATTTTCTATGTTAGTAGTTGGAAGTAGTATCTAGTTGTAATGAGATGCTTTAAACGTAAACCATTTCATTTAGTTTGTAAACAGCATTTTCTTGACTTTTCATTTGGTTGGCTCGCCTCTGGCATTTCTTGAGGTTGTATACACTGTAAATATTTAAAAGGATTAGCAATCTCTTTTTGTGATGCTTTTATTTTAATGAAATCCTTCTATTTGGGAATCACATCCAGTAATCTTGTAGTATCTCTGCTCCCTTAACTCATTTACATCTTATATTGAACCTATAGATAATTGATGAAAAGTCACTTATCAAGAAATACCAGCATGAGATTAAGTGCTTAAAGGAAGAATTGGAACAAATGAAGCAGGGTATCATCTCAGTTCAGCCAAAACAAACTGGTGAAGTTGACTTTGTGCTCCTAAAACAAAAGGTAGATGATGTTATATTATCAGACTCTTTTTTTGCCTTGAAGATGGTTTTCAAAATGTGATTTTCTATAAATATTTCCTAGATATTAAGCATAAAGGAAACATTGGTAATTATTTTCCAATTGTTTTCCCTCTATATAATATTATATGTGGAGTTGGAAATGAGTGTAATTAATTATGGGGAATTCTTTGAAATTCAACATTCTGAATTTGAATAGTTATCAATTATTTTGTGTGATGTGTAAAGCTAGAAGATGGTCAAGTCAAGTTGCAATCAAGATTGGAAGAAGAAGAAGAAGCTAAAGCTGCGTTACTAGGAAGGATTCAACGGTTGACTAAGTTAATTTTGGTCTCCACCAAACCATCACACTCAACTAGATTTTCTAACAGACCTGGTCCTCGTAGAAGACATTCTTTTGGTGAAGAAGAGGTATTTCCCTTTTCAGATAAACTTTATCAATTTTTTCTTCTCTAATATTAACTTCTTGTTTTAAATATTAACATCTGATGATGACGATACTCTGCTTAATTCTTTGCTTGTATATACATTTTTCTAATTATCAATTATTTTTACAGTTGGCATACCTTCCATACAGAAGGAGGGATTTGATCTCAGATGACGAGGACACTGATCTACATGTTAATCTAGAGGGGAATGCTGAAAAAGCTGATGATTCTTTTAAGGTGGAGAAAAAGACAAAGAAACATGGGTTACTAAATTGGTTAAAGATGCGGGTAAGTTGTCTTTTGATTCCTGTATTAAGTTAACTCTATAAATATGCTACATAAAGACTAAATAAAGAAAATAATAAAAAATCATCTTAATCTATGGCGAATTTTCTAGCACTATCTCTTAAACTAAAGCTTACTAAACTCTAAGCTTGTGACTTATGGAAAATATTTGAGAACAAATAACTTCTTAAAGATAAAATCACTTTGAACTAGATAAAGTTCCTAACATTAGCTCCCTAAAATAAGGTAAAATTGTCTAAAAAATAACTCAGATTATCCTAATTTATTACGTTTCATTATCTTTGTCTAATATTTTGTAGTTATTCTATCACTTTTAGCTCAGGCATATCTGATCGAGTCTACAATAGTTGGAAAGAAACAAAAGATTTGTTAAGCCTTATGTTATACATTTCTTGGTGCAATTGGTTTAATTGTTTATTGTAATTAAGCTGTTGTGTTGAATTCATTCCTATGGAGAATTTAAAATGTTTATTCCTGTTTGAATTTACAACCAACGACATAGTGTGAAATTCTTTTTACCAAGGAGTGGGAGGTAATATTGATTCCTTTGCATCTTTGAAGCCCGAATACTTAGTTAGACATGCGTACAAGCCAACATGGATTCAAGGACATCACAATTTTTTCAAATTTATGATACGGAATGACATTGATATCTTAACAAAATATTATAAAATATTTTATATGATAAAGAAAAAGAGATTGATCCTTTAAAATGAATTCATAATTATGATGATCACAATTTATGAAAAGACATGTGATTATACCAAATAAACTATAGATTTTGTCTGTCTTAAATGGTCTTGACGGGATCTTCTCTTGAATTTGTCATTTCCACCTCTGATTCCTGTTTATCATTTCTATTTCTAATTGAAATTTTGAAAGCACTTATTTCTTGATCAGGAATTAAGTTCATTTTGTAGGCAAGACTTCACAATTGAGAATTTAATCATCATTCCTGAACTTTTTTTACTGCATTTAATTATGAAAGAGTTTAAGCCTTCTGTGCAGCCATGCATTTGTAACCTGATTTTTAACTTTATAGCAAGGTTTTTTTATCATGAGTTAGCCATATAACATTTCTTTGTTACATTCGGAAGTGCTTTGTACTGCTGATATTTCTTAGTTGATAAGATGGATTTATTTTTTGTGGTATTCTTATCATGTTAAATTCCTTTTTTTTATTTGTTTCACTATTTTTTTTTTTTTCAGAAACGAGATACTGGGTTAAGTGCCTTTTCAGGCACCAGTGATAAATCATGTGGAGCAAAATCTGTTAGCACACCTTCTACTCCTCAAGCTGAAACTTGTAATCATGTGGAGTCCAGACGTTCCCATTCTGTACCTGCACAAAGCTCTCCATCAGCGGATTTTGTATCAGCAACAAGAGAGGATAAAGAAATTGGTGAGGGTAGTTTATTGGGACAAGAGACACCTTTGGTATGTTCTTGACTGCTTTTATTGTTTCTTTCTGCAGCTTGAGAAAAAAGCCATTTTCTATGTCATCTGTTTTTTTTTTTTTTTTTGGGTTAAATAGTTGCCGAGAGATTTTGGTTATAATCTAAATAAATGAATACTAACACAAAACCAGCATTCGAGAAATCTCACATTAGCTCTGTTTGCCTGAAACCAAATCAAAGGTCACTTCCATGCTTATGAAAGTTACCAAAACATATCTCAGTTATGGTAGCAATGTGCCCGAACACACACACACATATAGAAGCAGATTACATATTTTAAATATCCAAAGTTTTAATCAGTTAAACTTTGTGATAAAATGTCCTTGTATAACTAGGAAAGAAAGTTTTGAAGTAAATTATTTTTTTTAGTCCTGGATCAGGGGTATTGTGAAACGTTGTTTATTTGGTTTGTGGCCAAATACTAGTATAGAAATAATTTTTAGCTACTTATCTTTTTCCATATCTGAACATGTGTTATAGACCTACCAAAAAGAATAGTAGTACAGTAGCCATGTGATAGTCAGGTTGATGAATCTGTCTTAAAGTACTGTATTTGTGGGAATCTATCTCTTTTAATTTTAATCTTAATTTTTGCAGTATGGATATGGACATTAGGTACTTGAAGTTCTTGCTAGATATGTGATGATGAGTTTTTATATGCTATGAACATATATCTTTTGTTGTTATATTCCAATTTTTTTTTTCTTATTTCTAGACAAGCGTTAAATCGATTGATGAGATTGATCTGTTGAGGGAGCAACAAAAGATTCTGTCAGAAGAAGTAGCTCTTCATTCAAGTGCTCTGAAGAGATTGTCTCAGGAAGCGGCAAAATATCCTGATAAGGATCAGATTCATGTAGGTTACTATTTCACAATTGATGTTTGCCTGTGATTATATGATAACTTTGCTTATTATGGTAGTATATCTGAGAGTTTGCACTTTCGTGGTTAATTCATACCAAGGTGGAGATGGAAAGGTTAAAAGGTGAAATTAAGGCTAAGAAGGAACAAATAGATTTTCTGCAAAAGCAAATTGCTGATTCTTCCATTGCCTCAGATAAGCTGGATGAATCGGGGGTATCGCTAGTATGTACACGTGACATCATTGTTGCTTTTGTTTCACTTGTTACTTCTCCAATTTGATGCTGATTGTTTTGTGCTGCAGAATCTCACGGAGCTGATGGCACAGTTAAATGAAAAATCCTTTGAACTGGAGGTGACCATTATATAAATCTCGCTATATTTTCCTACTATTTATTGCATTGAAAAAAAAGTCTTCAATTGAAATTCAAGTATTCAATACTCAATATGTCTTATTGCGGAGCCTATGATAGTTTAAATTTAAATCCTCTTTTTTTAAACACAGTTAGTGTAGTACTTCGAAATCAGAACAAATGTATATAGTAATCAAGTTATTTGTTATAATTTTTTTTTTTTAAGCCTGCTCTGATCATAGAAGAAGGCGACCCTCTTATTATATTATAGCACAGTCATTGTAACTTCCACAATAAACATACTTCCTTTCCCGGATTGTTTTCTGAAAGTCTGTGTCTCCTAACTGTTTGCTAATTCAGGTCAAAACAGCGGATAACCGTATAATTCAAGAACAGCTTAATCAGAAGGTGCAAATGCTTAAATAATTTTGCACAAAATTTCTTCTATTCTTGTTTTTTAGTTATTAGTTAAAAACAAAAATGGCATCCTCAGGTCCGTGAATGTGAAAGCCTTCAAGAAACAGTTGGCTCTCTGAAACAGCAGCTTGCAGATGCATTAGAGTTGAGAAACTTAAGGCCTGTATTCAATCATTCTCAACATTTCTCTACAACCAAAGACTACCATGGTGAACCGTACCTTGAAAAGGAAACTGCCATGATAACCAATTCAAATGAAAAGATTCTTTTGCAACAGCAGGTATATTTTTTCGTCCTAGTGGATCTACATTAAGTGGTGTTATTGTGGTTTAGAAAGGCTAATCCCATTTGATTTCTTAGTTTTACCTCCCACTCTATCAGTGGTGATTAGCACTACATTTTATAATAGTCATGCCAGGTAATTGCTATTAGGTCTTAGAATTTCACATTAATTGAAAACCGTTTGCCATTCCATAAGCATCTTAAAACTAGCATAAATGTTACATTTTTTTTTTTAAGGGAAATATTAACCATTTAGGCAGGACGTAATTTTGTTTGAGTTTTAACCTGTGGCATGCAAGATATGCGTTTGTTAGTTACTATATATCATTTCAGTTTTCCTTCTTCCTCTTTCCGTTTTTGCGACTGAAATTCAACCCACAGTTTGAGTCATCATTGGACGGCTATACTTACCAAACTAATTTCTTGTGTACGAGTCATCTGATACCAAATGAATTTTAACATCCAAGAGCAAGCTAAAAACTGCTGACTTGTTTAAAAGTTTTACTTCAAACTTCCTTACAGTGAAGGGGAAGAAAACACAACTAGGATACTTTCTGAAAATATCTCGTACTTGCCATCTATTCCAGTGCTGTATATTATCATCATCAAATGAGATTTACATTTAGTATTTGCCATAAATTCAAGCTATTCTTCCCACTTATCTACAATTTTAGGCAAGCGAGATAGAAGGGCTGAAGCAGAAGTTGACGAAGCTAACAGAATCAAAAGAACAGCTAGAACTTCGGAATCAGAAACTCGCAGAAGAGAGTTCATACGCTAAAGGCCTTGCTTCAGCTGCTGCCGTGGAGCTTAAGGCGTTGTCAGAAGAAGTTGCCAAACTAATGAACCAGAATGAGAGATTATTGGCTGAACAGGCTGTATTGAAGAATTCTCCTGGCCAACGTAGAAGTAGTGGAACCGGAACAGTCCGAAATGGAAGAAGAGAAAGTCATGTTAGGCGAAATGATCCGGGGGGATCAAATTCTGATATCAATAGAGAACTGGCCTTAAGTAAAGAAAGGGAACTTTCATACGAAACTGCTCTTTTAGACAGGGATCATAAAGAAGCCGAGCTTCAAAGGACGATTGAAGAATCAAAGCAAAAAGAAGCATATCTAGAAAATGAACTAGCCAACATGTGGGTTCTAGTAGCTAAGTTAAAAAAGTCACATGGAGTTGAAACTGCTGTTTGACATTTGATATGATCTTTGTATTAGTGAAATTGAGTTACTATCCATCAACAATTGGATTTCAATGGAAAGAATTTGAGAGATGCGCAATGGTTGTGATCAGGAAAGTTTGCCTTTTGGTTTTGGTTCGTGAAAAGGTTTTCCAGTAACCCAGTTTGTGTAAATGAATGATGATTGCTTACCTCCTGGCTATCCTTTTTTTTTTTACCCTTACACACTATTGTTTAAACAAAGGAAATTGCGTTTTTTCACCACCATAATTTATTTTTGGTACACGTTACAATGTATTTCTATGAAGAAATTTTAGAAAGTAATTTATTTTAATAAATAATATGAAATATTTCTTGATAAAATATGGTTTTTTTTAATCATGATTTTTTATTGACCTATGAAATTATTTTTTATCATGCAATTTAAGGTTTTTAAATCAATGTTAATAAGAAATATTTGTGAGATTAGATTTTTTTATCAATAAACTGTTAAGATTATTTTTTATTTATTAATTATAGTTAATATTTTTCTGGCAAAATTAATAAAATTATTTTTTTTATCAAATTCAAATATAAGATTTGTTAAAGAGAATAACTCTTCGGATGAGAAATACGTAGAAATTAGTTTACTGGATAATTTTGAAATGTTTCGAAACAAAATAAATTTAGATAGAGAATTTTAAAAGAAATTGTAATTCTAAAAAATTTGAAATTTTACATTTTTGAATTCTTTTTTATTCATATTTTTTTTATAGCTCAATTTTATTTAAATTCTTCGTCTTATCTTATTTGATTCAATCTAGGTGGGTCGTTACGAAAAAAAATTAATTTTCCTAATTTTGGCTCTACTAGTTTTATCTATTTTGAATTATTAAGTTTGGATAAATAAGACTTAGCCTAATCAAGTTAGTATGTTTTCATTTAGGTTTCTTGACTTAGATTTAACCGCCGGTCTCGTCTCGACCTGGTTAAATTTATTCCAATCAGATTTATCTTTAGTCCAGCTTAACCTAATCTTATGAGTAAGTACAAAAAATATGATAGTCTAGTTTGACCTATATTTTAAAACGGACAAAAAAAATTTAATTAATCTCATCTTATGTCGGACCAATGGGCTAACGAGCCATTTCTTGGCCTAATTAAAAAAAAATTATTTATATAATTTTTTAAATTTTATTTGAAAAAAATAATGTCATTAGTTTGTTTATTCAAAATTAATTCATATTCTATTTAGACAAAATAAAATTATAAAATATTATTATACAAAATTTTATCATACAAAAATTTATTGTATAAAATTATAAAAATATCAACTTCTTTTGTGTCTATAGTTGATAAAAAAAAGTAAGCAAATAACATTAAATGATTAAAGTTTGCATAATATAAATATTATAAAATATTAAATACTAATTTGAGTATACCAAGGTCTAAATATTATAACCATACAACCAATTACCATGAGAACTTGCACATCTTCTAGAAGTATACAAATTTCTATACTTATTTAAGATATTACCATTAACGCTTAAATAAAGATTTTGAAGCTATTATTGTAATTGGAATGCTTCAAATGTCACAAAAACAACAAAGTAAGTGGAATGTTTAAAATGTCACATAGTTCACAAATGCTTAAAATGTCACAAAATCAACAAAATAAGTCCTTATAGTTATTTAACTTTGAGCAGTTATAGTTGTTCATATATCACAAGTCAAATAAATATATTCTATCATTTAGATAACACATTCTTTGGTTTTTTCTCTTATGTTAAATATACTTTATAAACCTTTCTAATTGAAGTGTTTCTAGTAATTTATTTAAAATTAGGATTCAAAATTTTATTTACCTTCAAAATTTCACATATTCAACATAGTTAAATGAAAGATGATGTTTAATAATGATGCATTTAATAAGTATATCTCAATAAACTTTAGGGTCAAATTTTTATTCTTTAAACAAGTTAATCTTATTATCTAACATAACTCTCACATCAAGATACTTTGAAAATATACTACATTAAGAATGACTTAAATTGGTCAAACTAAAATTAGTTTGATTTTATTAATATCATAAATTTTTTGGTTTATTTGACCTATTTTTTAGACTTTTTGGATTGACCATCAGACTAACCCTTCCTTGTCATCATGCCCGTCCACCTTGACCCTAGCTAACCTAACTTCACTTATTATGACCTAGCCCAACAAATACTAATTTAACATCTCTTATGTCTTTTAATTGGATTCGTCTTATCATGTTCTCATCCAACATTTATTAATTCACTTGATCAAATTCGAACCAACTTATATTCACCTAAATCAACATGGTTCTACATGAGTTGTAACATCCTAACTTGGTTGACTTATCTTGAACTTGGTCTAATCTAACCTTACCTGACCAGTGTTCTTTTTACTCAGTCTAATTTATCTTAATTAAACCCAACATTATCCATCTAATTTATTTTAATTTAACTTAATCCTATCTAACGTGTCATAATTTTGGTTAAATTTGACTCATGTAAATAAGGGTCAAGTAATGTGAAACAATATGGTGATGATCATTTTTTTATTTAATAGTTAATAAAATATTTTATCAAAATAAAAAGTAATAAAATTAAAATAAATTTTGAATTGTATAATCCAGTCAAATCATTTAAAATTTTAAAAAAATAATAATTAAATTTTATGAAAATTATAAAATTCTCTTAGAGGAAATATTATTTACAAGTCAAGAGATAGAAAATCTTTAAAAAAAGAGTTATTAAAAAATTCTAAAAATATTGTGATATTTTCTAAAAATATTTTTGTCCAAGATTTTAAAACTTGACATAAAGATTTATTTTTAAGCTCATATTAAGTCCAAAAGAAAAAATTAAAGATATGTTTCAAATCCTGACCAACCTGATATGTCATCTTTTCACAACTTTACTCTGGGCTTCTATTTTAGCTCCTAGTCACGAAGGTGTGATCCTGACTTAGACAACATATGTTTTTCTCACTAGATAAAATAAGAACATTCCGTTTTCACCTTCCAATCTCTAAATATTTATGTTATTTATAAAAACATTCAAACTTAAAACAAAAACAAGGAAACATAGTATGAAGTCCCAAAAAAGAGAACAAACAAAAACATAATGAAAATGACATTTAAGACATAAAAATGTATGTAAACCTAACCATGGGAATATGCAAATAAATATCACATGAGAAGCAACACATAACTCTTATACTAACAACCGTTGTTTAAGCTCACTTGTGGCACTTTACGGAGATCATCAATCATTTCATTAAATTATGTTCTAAAATCCCATCACTATAGACAAACTTTCTTAGGAACTTTGAGAAAGGAGAAAAAGTAAAAAAGAGAAGCAAGACAACATTAAATTGAAGGACAATGTTTTGTGTTCTTTATATTCAATAAAAATAAAATTATTTTAATAAAACATGTATATAATTTCTAAATGCATTATTAAACTTAAAAATGTCTCATTTCAATATATAGTTTTAAGTCTAGAAATTTGTTGGGCTGAAATGGCATAAACTTTCAATTACTCACAAATAATAATAGGGAGATACAAGTTTTTCTTGTTAATTAAATTAATAGTGTACCAATTTTATTTTATTTTTAGAAAATGCTTGCAGTTTAAAAAAAAATTCAAATATTGAATTATAATATTTAAATATTAAAAAAAATTATGAAATTCTAAAATAAAAACTATAAAATAAACATAATTCATTAATATATATATATATATATATATATATATATATATATATATATATACATTGTTTAATGAAAAAAATCTAATATTGATTATAAACTATATTAATAACATGATTGATGTTTTAAATATGAGCTGATTTTGAGTAATATATAGATTTGAAAGATTTATAATAGTGATATTCTTTATTTTAAGTTAGAGGTTGCGATTTTATTTTGGATCAGTATAGTTAGTTGACTATTAACTTATTTAAACAAATTTTTTGTTAGAAATTTTGAAAGAGAAAAATAATAAAAAATAAAATAATTTTTTAGGTAAATTAAAATTATTTTATACATATGTTTAAAAAAAAAGTCATATAAACACAATATTATATTTTTCTTATAAAATATCAAATGAGTATTTAACAAGATTATTATGTCAAATTAGTGAGAGAAAAAAAATATAAACTTTGAACTTAAATGCACGGAATCAAGGGAATGTTTGATGATTATAAATAATTGATTTTATTATCTTTCTTATTTTTTTTATAATTTATTATCTTTCTTATTTTTTTATAATGAAGAAAAAAACTAATTCTGATTTAAGATATAATAGTTGATAATTTATAATAAAAAGAATAATATTTTGAGATTGAATACCTGTGTTCAATAACCTCGAAAGTATTAGTATTAATATGCATTGAATTTTATTTTATTTTTCTCAATAAACCAAACTTGAAAGGGGAAAGTCATTCTTACTCTTTCCTGCTAGATGATGTGTAAAAGTTAAGAATGACAAATGAATACAAAGAGGGCATATTAATGTTGTTGTTTGATTGAATTTGTCCAAATTGTTAATTTTATATACTCTTGTGTCGGTGATAATGATGTATTCTAACTGATAGTGATTTAAGAAGTTAGTGGCACGTTGATGACACCTTGTCACCTGTGTTACTAAACCAATGTTACGAACATGTGAAATTGATGAATTTAACTTAACATGCTAAAGATACCACCTTGTATATTCATTAAACATAATATGTTACAATTGAATGCAATGGTTTGAATATTTTTTTCTAATTTATTTATGTGAATGAGGAGATTAATTGATATATCTGTGAGTATAATTAATTGATATATATATATATATATATATATATATATATATATATTATTTGAGATTAATTAAGCATAAAATAAGAACAAACCAATCTTAACGGAAGACAAGATTCACCACCTTTATTTGGCTTGGACCAAATATACATGCTTTTGTCAAAGTAAATAACAAAAACAAACATAAATTAAAGACACATGACCTACATAAGAAACTAGACCACCAAACTAATAGAAAGAAAAAAAAAAAAAAGACTTAATTCAGTCCCAAGCCAAACAACACAAAAAGTCTTATATCTTCAAATTCAAATCCAACTTTGACTTTTTGACTAACTCCTTAAAACCAGGTTGGCTAAGTGAGAGGGTGGTGGCTTCAATTTCAAGATCAAGAGGAAGCCCTAGGCCAAGTGTCAGTGACCCAATTGGTGGGGGCTCTCGCTTCTGTCCAGCCCTAGCTTGTCCCGCAACATCTATCAGATTAGGTGGAGACTCAGTGACAGGATCTAGGATAGGCAAGAGATCAAGGGTCACCTGAGGCATCCGAGACAGTTCAGGTAACCCCATTGGTGGTGGTGGTGGTGATACCATCGAGGTGTGTTCCTGGTCTTCTAGCATGTATTGAAGCATCTCAGACTCATGTTGGAAATCAGCATTGATTTCAATAGGGTTAGGTGGAGAAATCATCTTGAAGAGGTGGTATTGGACGTGATCCTTAGGCAATTGGGTAACTTGGATTTTTCCTACGCATGCAGTGTATTTATTCAATGTAGAGTGGTATGATGACACTTTTTGGGGTTGAAGCCATCTTCCCCATACCCTTGAGGTTTTTGTCTGCTACTTTGTGGTTGTAAAGACTTACCTCATTGAAACAAAAGAAAATGACAACAGGAAATTCAAAGTTTACCATTTTGTCATTAATATTGATGTTACCTAGGTTGTTGTTGTTGAAGGAGAGTTGAGTTTATATATCACCGAGAATGAAGTATGCTATATGGAATAAAATAGGTTAAAGAAAATTTAAGTCCTCATTCAATTTTATAGGGAATTAATGAGTCAAGAGATATAAGTGTGTTGATGATGGTGGTAGCTAGCAGAGAGAAGTTTCACCCAAGTCATGAGATAACATGTGTTTAGCAACATCTTCACCAACAAATAATTGACTAGGTTTCAAAGAGTTGATTAAATATCAAAAAAGAAAGAATCACTCACTCATAAGTAAAAAAAAAAAAAAAAGACAAAATATCACAACTTAAAAGATATAAGTTTCTGAAACCAAACTTCAAATCATTACAAGTTCTAAATTGGCTCTAATATTATGCTATATATACATCTTAGCACCTTTGAGATATGCCACTGTTTATGGATGTTCAGATGCAACAATATTAATAATTTCAAGAGCTTGTTAATGTATAACAATTGGTAGCTAAGACAAATATGCTATATATTTTCTTTTTAATTTTTTATCACACAATTAATATCTTGTCATTATTTCATTAGTGGCCAATTAATCGAAGACACAAACCATTATTATATGTTTATAAATACTTTCTTATTTTTCTTTGAGGTTATAATTCACTACTAGAAAAATGTCAAATAGTAACCAAAATCAGTGACCGAAAAATTTATTTACTATCGATGACCAGAATCAGTAACCAAATTATTATTTTTTAGTCTAGTAATCAGAAATAGTAATCGAATTTTCGGTCACAAAAATCGGTTACTATTTCAGTCACTTTATTATTTGATTTATTTTTTTAATTAATCTATATTTAATTTATGTAATTATTTACTACAAAAATGGTTAATAGTGATCTGAAATTAGAGACTGATTTTTTTATATTTAGTAACTGATTTAGTGACTAAAATTTCGAGTCACTAAAAAAATAATTTTTAAACTGATAACTATTTTTCATTTATATAAATATTTTATTTAAAATATTTTAAATATAAATTTACTTAATGATTTAAAATAATTGATAACATTTTTAATAAAATTATAAATATTTAAAAAAAATTGTTTACTAACTTATTAAATAATTTAGTAATATAATTATTTGATTTTATTTTTTAATTTAGCATGTGAATAAAAAAATTAAAATTGATTATTAAATTAGTCACTAGAATCAGTCATCGATTGGTCACTAAATCGGTCACTAATTCGGTCATCGATTGATCATCGATCAATCGATTCGATCATCGATCGGTCATTGATTCGGTCAGATCGATCATCGATCATCGATTCGGTCACAATCGATCACGATCGGTCACTAAATCAATAATTAAATTAATTATTAATTTAGTCTCTTATATATATATATATATATATATATATATATATATATATATTACTTGTATGTTAATAAAAATGTATTTCAATGTATTTATAAAAAATTAAAATTATTTTAATTACTTGAATTGATATTTTAAATTTATATTAATATCTTGAATAATTTAATAGTTGGATATATATATATATATATCACTTTAATTTTTTTAATTAAAATTAATTTCATAAAAAAATTAATATTTGAAAATTAATTTTTTTAATTAAAATTAATTTCATAAAAAAATTAATATTTGAAAATTAAAATGCAAAAAAAATATATATATATATATATATAAATTTATTTATTTTTTAAAGATGATATATTCAATGTATGTTAAAAAAGTTCAAGCCAAACTGTTTTTATAGAAGATTTTCAAAGCTACTTGGTTTAATTAATCTGTTAAAAGATTCTTTTAATATGTTAAAAGTGCAGTTTTAATCTGTTAAAACTTCTTTTAATCCATTAATACGTTCTTGATTCTTTAACTGATTTGTTTTAAGCTGATACTGACAACGTTTATATCAATTAAAACACTTTACAAAAAATCTTCTAAGTTGATTTAATCGATTGTTCGCGATTCAATCGATTGAAATACTTGCAAAACTTTCTCCTAAAACTTTTCAAGTTATTTTAAGCTGATAAAAATAAGTTTTAATCGATTAAAACGTCTGTGTAAAACTGTTTTAATCGATTGAAACGAGAATTAATCGATTAAAATAGTTATGATCGGTCATAAATGCATTACGATCGATCATAATTGAAACCATATAATAGCGGTTCAAGGGTTAACCGCTATCTAAGTCATATTTTAAGAGCGGTTCCTGTGTAACCGCTATCTAAACCTAATCTCGCTTGAGCGACAATATTCTCGCTCGAGCGAAACGCCCCTGCACAAAATTAGTACTCTCGGGTTGTATTTCGCTTGAGCGAGCCTATCTCGCTCGAGCGATAGTTGATTCTGATCGATTATATTTTCGAAATGATCGATCATATTTGATAATTTTTTCAAATATTTAATTATAATCGATTAGTTTTCTAAATTATTGATTAGAATTTATTAGTTTTTCAAATAATAGATTAGAATTGATTAATTTCAAAATATATACTAAAAAAATATAATTAAAACTATAAATTAGTTAAGAATATTGACTATTGTAAAGATAAAGTAGAAACATGAGAGGAGATGAGGATGATAATATAATGATAGAACTTACAAAAATGTAGAATTGAGAAGTTTGAAACAAATAAAAATAAGAAAATAGATATTTAATTACACTTTTAATAAATTTAAGATAATACTAGTTTTAATTTTTATTTTTAAATATTTATTTTAAATATTTAAAACAGAGAAACTATAATTTTAGTTTCTAGCTACTTGAATTTAAAGAATTAAATTTATTATTTAATCTTTTAATTTGTAGAATTAAACTCAATATAATTGTTAAAAATACTTTGTAGAGGCATTTGAGAAAGCTTTTGTCAAAATACTTTGTTTTTAATTGTTAAAAACATTTGTAGAGGCATTCTGCAAAACATAATTGAGATGATATGATAGCGGTTCCACCTTAACCGCTATCTAAAGTATAATTAAGATAGCGGTTAATGGTTAACTGCTATTAGAAGTTCACTTTTAAGAGCGGTTCCTGTGAAAACCGCTATCTAAAACGTATTTCGCTTGAGCGACAATATTCTCGCTCGAGCGAAACTCCAAGTGCACGAATTCGCATTACGAGGGTGTAATTCGCTTGAGCGACACTACTCTCGCTCGAGCGAAATTCGATCCTGATCGATCATAACTTAAAATGACCGATCATAATTGAGAGGATATAATAGCGGTTCCCTCATAACCGCTATCTAAAGTGCTTGAGGTGTATTTCGCTTGAGCGAGACTTCTCTCGCTCAGCGAAGTACTGATTCGATCGATTATATTTTCAAAATGACCGATCATATTTGATAATTTTTTCAAATAATTAATTATAATCGATTAGTTTTCTAAATTATTGATTAGAATTTATTAGTTTTTCAAATAATAGATTAGAATTGATTAATTTCTAAAATATATACTAAAAAATTATAATTAAAACTATAAATTAGTTAAGAATATTGACTATTGTAAAGATAAAGTAGAACATGGGAGGAGATGAGGATGATAATATAATGATAGAACTTACAAAAATGTAGAATTGAGAAGTTTGAAACAAATAAAATTAAGAAAATAGAGATTTAATTACACTTTTAATAAATTTAAGATAATACTAGTTTTGATTTTTATTTTTAAATATTTATTTTAATTATTTCAAACAGAGAAACTATAATTTTAGTTTCTAGCTACTGAATTTAAAGAATTAAATTTATTATTATTTAATCTTTTAATTTTAGTATTAAAATTTTAAATTATATTTTTCTACTTTGAGAATGAACCATATAATTAAACTCAAAATTGACAATATTATAATACATTTTTGAACTCTTTTGGATTAATTTTTTTTCCTAATTTTTGATAAAGTTAATTTTAATATTTAAAAGTATTTAACATTTTGAATTTCGAAAGGTTTTCTCTAATAGAAAATTTAAAAACATAATATAAAAAAATAGTTAATATAAGTTTTCAAGTTATTTTAACCGATAAAAATAAGTTTTAATCGATTAAAACGCTGTGCAGAAATTGTTTTAATCGATTGAAACTAGATTTTAATCGATTAAAATAGTTATGATCGGTCATAATTGCATTACGACCGATCATAATGGAAACCATATAATAGCGGTTCAACGGTTAACCGCTATCTAAGTGAGCTTTTAAGAGCGGTTCTGTGTAACCGCTATCTAAACTGTATCTCGCTTGAGCGACAACTTTCTCGCTCGAGCGATACGCTCCTGCACAAAATTGGTACTCTCATGTTGTATTTAGCTTGAGCGAGTCTAGTCTCGCTCGAGCGATAATTGATTCTGATCGATTATATTTTTGAAATGATCGATCATATTTGATAATTTTTTCAAATAATTAATTATAATCGATTAGTTTTCTAAATTATTGATTAGAATTGATTAGTTTTTCAAATAATAGATTAGAATTGATTAATTTCAAAATATATACTAAAAAATTATAATTAAAACTATAAATTAGTTAAGAATATTGACTATTGTAAAGATAAAGTAGAACATGGGAGGAGATGAGGATGATATAATATAATGATAGAACTTACAAAAATGTAGAATTGAGAAGTTTAAAAAAAAATTAAGAAAATAGAGATTTAATTATACTTTTAATAAATTTAAGATAATACTAGTTTTTAAACCTTTTTCTAATATTTGTTTTTAAAAATATAATATCATTTTTAATATTTTATAGATTTTATA